TCACAAGCAAACATTGGCTTTTGGCTCCCAGTGAAAGTGCAGAATGAGATACTTAAGCACATTGCTTATTTAGGCTGAAGCAGATCAGATGCTGTTTCACTCCTCTCTTTCCTTTGCAGCAGCACGGACTTCCAGGGAACTTGAAGCCAATATACACTCATGACAGTTCCTCTGCATTTTTTTTGAGGTTATGTTAAAAACCAAGGGGTTTGACTTTTATTTGCACTCATCTATTTCCCCAACCACATCAAAGTAAGGGAATAGCTAGTATGATTTTAGGTGCACCTGTGTGTGCCTCTACATCTCTAGATTGCTGTCAGATGAGTTTCCTGTAGCACAGGGTGGAAGGCACAAAGGCCACCAGCCAGATCCTCAGCCAGTGTGAACATAGAGCTGAGGATCCAGCCACGTGTCAAATTACACAAAAGCACTTTAGAACTACCTGTTTGTTAATGGCATCTGACCTACTTATACCGGCTCCAAAGACTCAGACTTTCCCTTCCTGAAAATAGGCACAGGGGATAAAACCAGTTGCTGTGGACAACCTAATGGCCATCAACGTTTGCAGACATCCAACAATTAAACTTGGGTGGTTCAGTACATTCCTAAATGAGTATAATTAACATTTGTTCTTTACTTGTTCATTTTGCATACCTCACTGATGTTCCAAATCTGGTTTCCCGTGATCATCTATCCAAGCACATCCTAATGATTCTGGCTTTCAATCCCTTATTAATACCCTGACATAAACAGTGCAGAAATGCAATTAGACTGCTATGCACACATGGCCTGCCTCCTCTTTCACTGAAGCTGCTGGGACTCTGGCCATGCACTGTCATTATGATAGTTTCAGTCTTTCTGTGTCTCTGCAGAAGTTTCAAGGAACACCTCTAGTTTGTTTCCTCCCAGATACTTCATCTATTCAGCCCTCCATCTCCAATCCCACCATTAGGTAGTTTTGCCACCAAGTAGAGTTCTCATCTTGACAGTGTAGTCAGGAGAGCAGAGAATCATGCACCAGTTTCCCCAATTACTTTGTTTTTGTAAGCAGCTCTACAATACTGTTATATTTCTCTCTCCATCAAGCAAACACACAAGCATAAAAAACAAAATAAACAAAAGCCAAAAAAACACAGACTGATACGATGGCAGGGTTGTAAAATAATAATAATAATATAACATTCAGCTTGAGACTGAACAAAACTGATAGCTCAAGAGGAGGGAGGCAGCAACATGATGGGAGAGCTGAAACACCCGTGGTTGAATCTCAGTGTTGCAACTGTCTGCAGTTTCTGAAGGGCCAATCAGTCAAACCTTGGGCAGAGGTTGAAGACCTCTCTTGAACTGCCCACATAGAAATGACCACTCAGAGAAGCTGGCCCCAAACAGCACTGCACAGCTGCTGAGCAAGCCAGTGCTTCCAGTGAGCAATAGCAGTATCCCACATGCCCTTCTTAGCAATTCCTGCCAGGTCAGTTTAAGATAAACAAAACCTACTCAAGAGATTCGGGTCAAGAACCATTAACATCAAGCACGTTCCTGACATGCAGACGCTTGTTCTGTAACCATAGAAGGGATCTGTTTTAGGTGGATCCCAGCCTGCCTGGCTCTGGAGACCCTCAGCAAGCCCTGCTGCTGTCTGCCCCCATACACCTCTGCTGACAACCCAGCCTGAGACAAATTCAGGATGGACAGGATGGCTCCAGTGTGGTAGAAAAGAGGCTGAGGAGGTTGCTGGGCACTTCAGGACAAGTGTCTCACAGGGCTGTGCTCTTCTATATCCACTGAACACCTGGGGGCTGCCCAGCCTGGGAATGTGTCCACTGCAGAGCAGAAAGATAGCCCTGGAAAAGCAGTTTCTCAATCATTTAAGAAAGACTAATTTTTAATAATTTTTTTTTAAGAACTTTTATTTTGCATTGTGTCTTCCTCTGTCTTTTGGCTGCCATCTCTAAGTTTAATAGTTCTGCATAAGCTATAAAAACCCCCAGAACTTTGTTTTTTGCCCCAGACAGATTTCCTTGACTATTTCATGTTTCCTTGTTTGAGTGAACATCAGAAGAGGATCTTTCCACCTACATATCTAGTTAACTAGCTAGCTAGCAAAATGTTGATTAATGGCAAGAGTTGGTTTAAGCAAAGTAATTGTAACAGAAAGCAAAGTACAGGGAATTTTTAATGATGTTGGTCTTTCACATTTCAAAAGTTCACATTTGTTGAGCAACTTTACCACTTTTTTTTTTTCTTTTTTTTTTTAATTTGCTATGAGGGAACTGTGGAAATCATTTTATTTGGCCAATCTCATGTTACTGGCCTGAATGAAGTAGAGAGAAGAGTTATGCAAATTGACTGTATCAATCAGAAATCATTAAACTATATCTGCATTTAAAAGCAATGGAATTCATTGAAGTATTATTAGAGCTTTGTAACTGAAATACTGCTTGGAAAAGGAAGTGAAAGAAGTATCCACACAACCTAATGGCTGCTATTAAAGGAGGTCACAGGCATCAGTCCTTCAAAAATAAAAGCATCTAACTTAGGCAGTCAGTCCCCAGCTTGCAGTGACTGCTCAAAAGGTGTGAAGTTAAGCATACATATAAATATTGGAGCAATCAGATCTTGGAGCCAATAGTGCACTGCAAGGTCTTTGCAGCAACAGCATCTTTTTATTCAGAAATTTCCTGAGAATCTCCACTACCTTACACTGAATGGTAACCTGTGGGGGTTTATTGACTTAAAGTGCAAGGTACCTCTGTGTACAGAAACAAGCTCTACATGAGCATAAACAGAACAACATTTCAGTATTGGAAACCTAACATTGGGCAGATAAATACAAAAAAAAAATGTATCGGTAGAACAAGGTATGTTTCTTATCTCCTGTATGAGGTAAATGCACATTAAATCTGTTGCTTAGGCAAACTTCCCTTCACACAAAGAGGGAAGCATAATGAAATAGGTGGGATTAAAGGGTTTTCCAGTTCTTCAGGGAGAACACCTGAACACGCACAGACATCAGTCTGAGCAAGGTGTGCCAGCTCCTGAGGTACTCCACTCTGCTCTCTTCCTGGAGCAGGAGACAAAATTTAATTACTTAGGTATTTCTGCCTTTCTGCAATAGTAAATTGTCATATTATTCAGAGGGAGTCATCCCACTCCTTTTAGGCAAAGCATTAAAAATGGTTTCTCCAAACTACTTCTTCAATGAGTACTTAAAGAAGAAGGAAGGGGAGAAGGTTGAAGAGAATCATCACAGAACAATTATGCAGGCAATTTGGAAGCCAGTCTGGAAATAACATTGTAACAGAGCCAATAGCTGATTCAAGTTGTTACATTTCTCCTCTGATCACCTGCTCAAACACATTCCTCATTACCATTAATGGAGTCTGCAGTTCAGCACACTACTGAGCACCTGCATGCAGATGTTAATTCCTCTTTCTGATGACACGCTCTCCTCTGCAGGGGTGCCGGCCTGTGCTTTCTAACAGAAGGAAATATCTGACCACTGATGAGCACCACCTCGATTTCCAAGGAAGAACCAACTGTTTATTCAGTGCTGCACTGGATTTCAATCCAGAGTATTCATAGCTGTATAAACTCATGAAAGAAACTAAAAGACTGAAAATTTTCATATATGCCTTTCTCAAGGTTTCTCTAGTTAAAAGATGTTCTCTTACATCTCTTAGCAAAAATAAATCTTGCAACTTGTCCCTGTAAGGTAACATACCAGGCAGAGGAAATGAAGCTCTCACCTGTCCTTGAAATGGAGAATTTCAGGTAATACTTATTCCAGCAAGAGGAGAGATTGCTAGTGCCACCTCTTGGTGACAAGGGCACAGAAAGACAGCCATTAAAATAATCCCAAAGACATAGTGGGAAAAATAACACGTGCTTCTAGGAAGTGCTGACCAGTCTCTCACTGATATCAAAGCACTTCCAGGTATCCTTAGTTTGAGATGCTTAGTATTGAGACCCTTAGCATTGAGATGTCCTATTTATTTGAAGGATGTGTCTTGTACTCTTTCAATTCAACATGTCCTTAAATATTTGCCTGGTGCTAAATCCTAATCCTATGAAAGCATTAAAAAAGTGAAATCCTGGGGAATATGAAGATTCTTCAACTGAAACTGAGAAAAAGTTGTGTCTTAAACTTGTTAGGTTTTTAAATATCTTCATTGGGCTGTGATCCAAAAAACTTGTCTGTTTGAACCCTCCAATAACAACTTAATGATAATGCTGTTGTGGAGGTTGAGTGTTAATCATTAAGTTTGTCAGATTTCATGACACAGGAAGAGCTGTGGGTGAGTCAACACGAACTCCTAATTATAAGAAACAGAGTTCAAAAGAAAACTAAAATGTAAAAAGAGGATTAGTTTAAGCACCACATCAGCGTCAAGTAAGCTTGCATGGTGCCATTTATTCTCTACCCTCTTTAAATATCATCCTGGACAATGGTGGGCTCATTTAGCTTGCTGAACTGAATCTATGACTAAACATATGACACAACAGATCTGACCTTCATAACGGAAGAAGCTTCTACAATGTTTCCTGTCTATTTCAAAAAGAAGCCACACATAGGAGTCACCGTGCATGGAGAAAAGCATGGAGGAAAATTTCTCCAGGTGAAAGCGTGTGAACTTTGCAAGACATTGTCTTCTCTTATGAAAATGCAAAAGCAGTTATCGCTTCTGGATGAATATTGCATGCATGAATAGTACTGAACTGTAAATAAACCCAAACAACAAGACCAAATAACCACTCTGCCCTCCATTTTCAAATAACGATGGAGAAAATGTTACATTGTGACTACACATCTACTGAAAAATATATCGATTAAAAAGTAGACAATTTTTATTAACTAATAAAAAAACAATGTTTACAGCAAGCTTTATGCTTGTAAAAAATATTAAAGTGTAATAGCAAAAGATATATATTTTAAATATATTTATATATTAAACTATATAAAAATATTATACTAAATAAAAGTAAAGATGCTGTCCTACCTTGTTTTAGAATGGTTTTGTTTACAGGGATACCACATCCATGTAATTTTAGGTGGAGGAATACCATACACAGTGCATGTCAGCACTTGTTTGCTGCCTAGTAAATGCAGATTAGGTTCAGGGAATGATGACACGGCCTTTTCGTATATCTGTGGTTTCACTGGAAAGGGTAAGAATTGGAGAGCAATTAAAACCAGCTTATTTCCAATGTATTGCACTATTATAAAAATACTACATTCCTGCATTGTGAGTAACAAGAAAAATCCCCAGGAGAACAAAGGAAAACAGCAGTCCTGAGTCACGTCAGATGAGTGGTTAGTAACACATTTAAGTCATCAGGAGCAAATATGTGACTGTGGAGGACAGAAAACACTTCAAATGAAAACCAGCATCCATCTTCTGGTTCAAAGATGGGCCTTTCACCCTGCATATGAGGCTTGGGTTTGGGTCCACGAAGTCAGTAAGAAAACCCACAATGCCCTGATGATGGCAAGATTGGTGACAATCCAGCTCAAAGGAAATTGAGCATTTACATGTTCAGGAGAAGCATGGGAACACGTTGCAAACTTACCATTTACCGTAAGAGTGACTGTAAGATTCTTCGACAGGTTCCACTGTCGAATGCTCAATATTATGGTGTAGTTTCCAGCATCCTCCTCAGCAACATCCTTGATGACTAATGAATAGTCTTTAACAATATACCGGGCACATTTTTCAGCGGCAGGTAGCCCATCTTTTAACCTGTTTCATGGAATTTCAGAAATCAAAATTCTGAAAAATATTTCTGCTTAGATCATCCATGTTACATCATATTCCTCAATCTTTGGGAAGGGATTGGATTTCCAGTCTGAGATTCTGTTTATCAGAGACTGGTCCTTTTCATTCAAATAAGATTGCTAATATTTGTAAACCACTTTAGAGAGTACTATTCTATATATTAAAATTGATAAGAATCTGATGGGGTTCTATGGTGTTTGAGAGTTGCTGAAAATTGCAACTCTGTCTCTAAAGATCCCATGGCTGTGACCGCCATTTAGTCTGAGAGACAACCATTTTGTCTAAGAGCTGGTCACAGAAATAAAGGTTGCATCATCTTGCACTGGCCATCTCTCTATGACCTCAGAATACATCCTGGGACAGAGTATTACAGTACTCTAAGCACAGCTGTGATTTTAGGAAGAGGAAGAATAAGTAGATTAGATAAGCACTTAGGAATCAGATATCCTGCTGTCAAGTGAATGTTTTTAAAGATAACAGAAAATCAACGTAGAAAGTACTAACTGTTGCTCACACATAGATTCCTGAAGCAAAAGAATCTTCTTCCAAGTCTAAAATACAGTGTAAAGTGCAAAAGAGTTATGGATTTAGGCATTTCACTGCATGTGTATTTTACAGAACCAGAGAATAGCTGTAGCTGAAAAAGCCTTTGGAATTCATTTAGTCTAATCTCCTGTATAAAGCAAGGTCAGAAGGTTGCCCAATACCATTTTCAGTATGGTTTTTTGAATCTCCAAGTATGGACACTCCACCTTCACTCTGTGCTATTTATTCCAATGTTTGACGAATCTCAATTTTGAATTAAAAAAATTGTTAAAATTTGTTAAAAAGTTTGGAGATATTTTTTTTTTTAAGTTCAGAAGTTTTGGATCTATAGGTGTAGTCAACAAACCCAAACACTGGAGAAACAGAAAATGATGTATAAATGGCTGGAATCAGTGTCACACTCACCCCTTAGTTTTCCACATGGAGCCATAAGCGTAAAGGTTTTGTAAAACAAGACAACACTTTTGGGGCAAGATTAATTCCCAGCTGTAACATGCACTCCCCCTGTTTATGTAGGTATTGTTTGTTTTCTTAATCAGTCTTGTCATAGACCCTTTGTTAAAGCACAATTAATTGAGCCAGAGCTACTGGTGTTTAAAATTATTTAAACAAAAACCCCTTGAGATCATGAATAGATAACACTTTTCCATATGAAAGTGGTTTGGATTAATAAAAAAAACCAAACAAACCTGTTCTAAAAGTTCTTAACACAGCATACACAAGACAAAATGAATGATCCAGTGAATGCTCTGCTGAAGTAGACCTACAGCCTTCAGATCACTGCATAGTAATACCAACTTCCATTTTTTTGCAATAGTGCATGTCTGTATAACTCAAGTCAATCATTTATTTTAATGAAAGCCTTCTTTTCTTTCTCTTACAGTCTGAAAAAGCAAGTTCAAAATTTCAAATCTAGGTGTGAATGATGCTGGATGTAACACTTGAGTCAAGGCTGGTAGAGATATTTAGCTGTAGAGCATCCATTGTTTTCAAGAGGAGACATACCCAACCTATTTGAGGATCTCAGCTTTAAACTTTCCTTATCGCCTTTCTCGCCCTTTTGAAATGCAGGTAATTCCTCATAAATTGTTAGAACCCCAGGCAGCTCTGAAATGTTAAAAAAATCCTCCCCAACCCTATTATAACAAGATGTCCAGGATGCATCTGTGAAAGTAACTGTTGTCCTACCATATAACCTCTGGAGAGGGAAATGCCTTCACTTTCATTGACAAACGATAGGATTTTCTTCCAGCTACAGCCTCCAGCGCAGTTTTTCTTCGACGTTTCAAATTAATGAACATTTTATCTTAAACAAAATAAAAAAAGTGCTTTGTATTACTGATTTTCATCCTGCAAAAAGAGTAGTTCTACTAAAGAAAATGTGACTCAAAATGAAAATTATCTTTAATAATTTTGATGCTCCCACATATTAACATCAAAAATAGAGCCTAACCGCCTGGAGATCTATAAAATAGAAAAGAATATACAAGAAACTGAGATGCAGTTCCCAGGGCATGGAACTGCTTGGAGAAGATACACTCTAGCCAAATTCACATTGTGCTTCAGCCAGAAAAAAAGGCACAAGAGATAAAGTGGTCTGTAGTATGTGGGAGGCAGAGCTGAGGATGATCAGATGACCTTTCCACTCCCACAGGCCAAGAATCAATGGATGTTCCAAAAGAAAACATTTTGCCAGAGAAGATTTAAGGGATCTTCAGAGAAATAGCAAAGGAAAAGGCAGAAACTTTCTGTATCATTGGTAAACAGCTGTTTCAAACAAACAAATCTCTGTCACTTCACTGGAATAATATCAGCCTGCTGGAATTTGTTCTTTTCCAATTGCTCTGCCCCGTATCTCCAACTCTGCCAAGTTGATGGTTTTTACCAGAGGCAATAAACCAAAAAATTCAATACATTGGAAAATATCTCTTTTTCCCTTGCCATCTCATGCAAAATAAAACATTCAAAGTATAAAAAATGTTTGAGTGTCCTTTTGATGGTACCTATGATGCAATATTTATTCACATTACAAACTGTATAAGGATGATGGGTATCTATTAAACAAGTTCAACATTTAATCACAACACCTATATTGAAAATAATATGCAGAAGACAAATAACTAATTACACAAGTCAAGTTATAAAGTTACAGCCCTAATTCTGCAAGCCTTTATTCACACAGGCTCTTTCTAATATGGGTATCCTGTAATGGGGCTGCTTATGTGAATGCAGGCTGACTTCAACAGTCCCAGATTTTCTGACTCTAATTTTAATCTCCAACTTCTCTGACTTTAATTTTAATCTAAACCTCAGTTTCTGACAGATGCAGTTTATCTGCTGAAGGTACAGTTATCAATGATAACAATGATATCAATTATAACAGTGATAACAATGGTTATCATGATTCATCCTATGCTCCCAGTGCCTTATTCCAGAGTTTAAATAGAGAAAATGGGCTGAAATTCTCTCTAAGAATACCTACACAGAGTGCTTAGTCCACACTTCAGGATAGGAGAGAAAAGATTCACCATTGAAAATATGCAACAAATCCATATTCTGACCATGAGTCATCTGTGGTAAAGGACACCCACCAGCCTCTTGGTCTTAACACCAGTGGTGCTCCAAAGATCCTGGGTGTTTCTAATTGTAACAGGGTGTCATCCCAAAGGTCACTCCCCAGAGAGTCCACATGCAAAAATGCCCTTATTCATATACTTTTGAAATAATATCAGAAATTTCCAGATTTCACAGAAGGCCAAGAAAAAATCATAGGGAACTCAATCAAGTGTCCTGCTGCAAAACCATATTAATTATTTGCATTTTTTGAATGGTCTACTCGCTCCATGTAGAGTTAGGGTATTTATTTTTTCTTTAGTTCTTCAAAGAAAGAAATGCATAAGTACCATAGAAGAGGAAGTGACATTCTTCTATTTAAATTATGCTTGTACCTTCTTTTCCCCCACAAACCAGAGTTTCCCTGATTATATCTGCTAGAACTAACTGAGGACAGCGCCATCACAACATTTAGCAGACAAAAGTGATGAAATTGAACATTAACATGTCTATTGCCAGCAGTACAAAACAGTCATGGAAGAAATGGCATGTTTTCCCTCCTGAAGCGCCTCCCTCCCTCATTTCCCTTTTTCTGCCCGTGACAAATGTGCTACAAATTCGCTTCCATCTTGTGTCATGATGTTAAACTGTCACATGACTGACCTTGGTACGCGAGCACTGAATATTCTAGAAATGTGCACCACTTCTTACCATAAACAATGACTGTCGTGTTGACGGCCTTGATCGACGGCCCGCTCTTCACGTGGCAGGTGTACTGGCCTTTATCGATATCCCGCACTCTGTCGACAACGAGGATGCTGTAAAAAATGTTGGCCTCTGAATTCTTCTGGTCAATACGCTGCATTACAGAACCTCTTTTCCTTGTCTATAAAAGCCAGAGAAATGAACAAGAAAGAGGTTAATCAAACCAATTTTCATGATTATTAAGATTTTTATTTTTTTGTACTGCCGCCATAACTTAATAAAAACAACCCCAGATGCCTTTTTACGTCACAGACAAGCAAAAAGATGCTTAACATTTCTGGATGGTCAGCAATAAAAATTATAAGCAACCTTATAGGGGAATTCATCCCTGTCTTCACCCAAGCTGTCATTGTATCCAAACCAGTACTTTCCAGGGGAAGAGCTTCCCTTTTGTATAGCCTGTCATATCAACATGCCCAGCTCCCCACTGCCATTGTCCAACACTGCTAAAAATCCCTGAAGCCATAATACAAAGAGCAACACATGGTTTGGTGCCTGGATTCAGTGCCATAGGAAGCAGATATGTAGAAGAAAAGGACATTAACACACGGAGGGGAGAATTCTGGAGACACTAGAGACGGAAAAGGGACTAGATTTGGCAAGGGAATAGCAGGGTGGAACTGAAGATAATGTGACTCTGAGGAGTTATTTCCTGCAACTCCCCCTTAGCATTTGGCCTCAAAGTTTATTTAACCCAGGACATTGTTGATGTCTTATAAACACTGAACACCCTTCAGTTACCATCTAAATAAAAACACAGCACAATTTTACAAGTGTGGTGCCCAGATAGGGCTTGGTAGGGCAGCAAAGAGCAATATAATATATTTGGAGCATTTCTTGTTGCTAAGTTGTTTATTTCTGAGGTGAAAAAATGCCAGGGAAAATGGCTACAGTAAGCAATAAACAATTGCATTAATCTTCCCTATATAATGCAATCATAATTTCAGCCTGTGATTAGATACAATGAGTGACATAATAAATGATCTGGACTTGAATCACCAGCATAAATCAAACTGACATGAAAGGAATGGGAGTTGTAAACCTTAAGCTAATGTCAAATTTCTTATCAGTTTTACACGGACTCCCTGGCAGTTATTTTGTAAGTGACAAATGTTTATGAGGATGCTCCCAATGTGGGGGGTGGAGAAGCACATTCAAGATCATTCCTGTTGTTGTCAAAACAAGAGGATTGTTCTTATGACACTTAACAAATGAGATTTTTTGGCTAGCTAAATCAAAATATCTTTTCCAAACATGCTGGAATCAGGTGCCTGACTGTCTGCCAGTCTTTGGAATGAATGTGTTGAGAAGACAGCCTCACTGAAAACTTTTTTGTCACAAGAGAGAGCCCCTGCCTGGGACGGAGTGATAAATTTCTCTCGTTTCACCAGGTTGAAAAGAAGCTCCCAGAGATGAAACAATCCTAGCGTTCGCTCCTGATTATGCAATATAACCAGAGCACATTATGTAAACATGTTTACTCATGAAATTAAGCATCAGAAAGGAAAAAAGAAACCTTAAGAGACATGTCAGCAAGGGTCAAAATGATGGAATGCAAACAACGGCAAGCATTCCAGACCAGAATTCCTCCCGGGATGCTAGATGCAGCATGATCTGTGGGAAACCTCTGGTTCCTTCTTTCCAACCACAGCACTCACCTCTCCAGGGTAAGTCCATGTCATCTGCACTCTGGTGTTCCAGGCTGCAGTGACAGTGCAGTTAATTGCTAGGCTGTCTCCCTTCAGCAGCTTGACAAGACGGGGGGTGCTTAACTGAACATCAAAAATTGTGTTGGCTGCATGTGACAAAGAGGGAGAACAGTTAGCCACGCCAGCAGGGCAGGGTGCGTTCTGAGAGATGGGGACTGGAGAGTGACACCTACTTTCTCTGTGCGTTAGGTACTTGGTGCTGTAGGTGTGCCCACCGACGGTTGTCTCGCAGCTCAGGAGCCCGATGAATTTGTAAGTTGCCTTAGGTATTCTGAAGCCTTGCATGCTGTCCCAGATTAGTGTCTTGCCATCAGGAATTAGGGTTTCTCGTGGAATCTGGAAGTGCCAAACACACATCACAAAAACAACTCATTATCATGTCTACTCTCTAATCAAAGTAGCCCAGTAGAAAAAGGGATGGGGAAAAAAGCCCCCCAAAAAAACCAATGCCAATCAACATGAAAAGGATGGCATTTAATGATGTGGGTTTTTCAAGTCACATTTTCATCACAAAATAGAGGAAAAACCTGTGTGAAGAACGCAAATGCTGCATTTGTTTCCAGGATTTCATTATTTATAACAGGATGTAATTTATGACACAATAGATTGATACTACAATTAGCTTCAGCACTTGGTCTGCTATTCTGTTGGCTCCTGGTTGGCAGCTAAAGTGCTCATCTCCAGGAACCTTTGCAATTAAGTATCCTGGTTTCACCACAGAGAAACAAATACACACTTTTCATTGGAGATGACAAGTAGACTTAATTTGCTGTCATTTTGTGGCTTTAAGAAATTCCTGCCAGGACTCAATTCCATGCATGTCATATTTATTTTGCCTAAAAGAATTAAAAAAACAAACAAAAAACTTATTGCCGTGTGGGGTCAAACTTTGATTTTCTCAGCAGTACAAGTTATCCTTTACATTATGATCCTTTGCATTTTAAGCCCCATTTTAATAAGGTATCAAGAAAACCCTGAAAAAGTAAAGCCTGCCATAGCCATTGAAGCTCAGACAAAACCTCTTGTTTTCAGACCATGCTATTTTGTTATACCTTATTAATGGAATTAATGCCACCATTTGGATAGCACAGAGAAAAGCCACGAGTACAAAGCCTGGATATGTCTCTACTTTGATAATACCTGTTTTAATGGTAAAAATAAGATATTTTTAAAGATGGCACAGAGCAGAGTTTAAATGAATTACGGTCATAAGGAAAGATCCCTGGATCAACTAAGCACCTTGCAGCCCATCACTTCCCACTCTGCACCAGTCTCACTGTGTCCCTTCATCTCTTTCATCCCCTTTATTTGAGCAGAGGACTCATGTGTTGGACAGGCCTTTCCTTCCTACAAGCAAAGCCAGCATGGGTGGCTGTCAGAGGCTGGGGGAAGCATGAATGTCTGTCTCTTTCCCGTGTGGTACAGCTTCTCTCTACAACCCAGCACCCTCGATGCTGCCTGCTCAGCCCGTGCAGAAAGACACCCTTGAGACCACATCCACTCATCTCGTGTCATTTCCTCCAAAATAGCTAAGTGCATGGTGAATCAAATGTGGAATAAATACAGAGCACAGAATGACGTGGTAGAATTCCTTATCTTTACAAGAGCTGATAAGATGCTATAATAAGCATACAAATCACAGGGAAGTGTCTGTAGCACACACACAAGTAAAGCCCATTACATTACAGCCTGCTGGCTACTATTCAATAATATCTTGGTCCCTATGAGCTCTGTTGACATTCCTGTTCTAAACAAAACGATTTTCAACTTTGGTTTACCTAGTTCATAGTTAACGTTTTCAAGAGCTTTGATTGGATTTATCCTCTTGCTGCTTTGGTGGAAACCAAACTATTTTACTTGAGCATATTTCTGTAGAGGTTTTCATGGAGAAAGTGAAGCCAGAGGGGCAGAGACTTCCCAAACTGGTGTTTCCCAGGGAATGCATTCACTCCACATTCATTACTCACTTGATGTATTACTGATTTTGTATTAGCCTGACTCCAGGAATACAAAAGTAACCAAAACATCCAGAAGACTCCTATTTTGCAACGCATAATTTTGTGAGATGTCTGGGTATCCACTATGCTTACTTATTGTGGAGACAAATCTTTGCCTGTACAGTTTACTCATCTGACATCCCTCAAAAACACTAGAGCAACATCTTTTTAGTAAAATTTTTTAGCAGCTCTGAGATAGAAGTTACACACAGTCACCTGTGAAAGCATAACACAACAGAAATTTACTCAAAGGACAACTTCAGAAAATGGAGGTCTCTGACTAGCAAAAGACCTCTGTGACATAGCTGGTTTCTGACCAGATCTCAAGGGGAAAACCCCAAAATTCTGCAACAAGTCCCTATTGGAGGGTGGAAATACGAGGACTTTGTCTCAAATGAGAAGATGAATGGAGACTGGGTGCTCAGCCCTTTCTTACCCAACTCTTCTCCATGCTGCTCTCTGCCAGCCCCACGGGCTCAGATTATGTTTCCCACTCTCAGAGAACCACAGCTGTTTTGTTCTGCCCTAAACCAGTTTTCAGACCACCAACTAGAAACATGGTATTGCCATCACCATGCTGATCACTGCATGGATGGTACAAGACAGAGAATCCAAGAATCACACAATAATTTAGGTTGGAAGAGACCTCCAGATGTCATCTGCTCCTGCCCCTGTGCAGAGCAAGGCCAGTGCAGCTCAAGGCCTTCTCAAAAATCTTGGCCATTTGGTCATCAGAGAGAGAAGTAGAAAACCTATGAAGAAACACCGTGCTGTAGCAGTGAGACTTCCGCTGAAGCAGCAGAAGATAAATTCAGCCACAATAATAGCTTTCAGATGGGAACCAACAGTGAGTCAGAGGCATTCAAAGAATCAGCTTGTTGTGATGGCTGCGACAAAGATGGAATTTATTGTCTACATGCTAATCTTGGTGAACCATACCACTGTGGCTCCCAGTGCATTCTTGGCCTTTTACCTTCTTTTTACTTTGTTTCAAATGCAGCTATTTTTGGTATAGGCTGTGCCTCTTTCTTTGCTCAATCTTTGCTGAATGCTTTTGGTACCTGGTGGCATTAACACAGTACAGCCACATAATGTGTACCTACCTATGGTCAAGAGTTGTAGTCATACTGTCCCCCACATCTCCAAAGGCAGAGGGTATGTGATTCACAACATCCCTTGGGGTTTTTCCACTTTTTATTCCTTGTACTGAAGATTATTTACTTCTAGTCCTATGAATGTCATTGTTTTTAAGATAGAGAATCCAAAAGGATTCTCAGTAAACAGATGGATTAAATCACTGTAACAAAAGGTGATACTTTCTCCATTTGTCAAGATAAGAGCAAATGAAGAGGTAAGAGAAGTGCACAGCTTACTTCCAGTAAGATTTATCATATTTAATGGATCTTGAATCAGGCTGCCAGAATCATGTTGATAGGAATGATGGTTTCAGAGGCTCTGAATATCTAACTATTAAGCATTAGATCAAAACTATTAATTGATTTCACAGTTTTCCATATGGTAAGGAAAAGGCCATCGGCTGCTGCAGATAAAGGTTATATCAGGACCCAAAGGTTGAATTTGAAATAGGAATTAAAAGCTTCATCCCCATTTCCCAGTCCATGTTTTATTAGCTTCTTGATTTTTGAAGACCCCCATTCTATGTTGTATGTGATTGCCATGCTATAAAATACAACCTGCACAGATGTGCAGCCTGAAAATGACAGCAACACAGTATATGTCTAAAAAGGTTTGACTAAAGTAAAGATGAAGATTGAGTAAAAAAAATAATTTGTAGTGTTGAAGATGGATAATGAACCTTTCCCCATTGGTCCACTAAAACTAAGAAGCAGCACTGTGAAGAAACAAATGCTGGAACCAGTCCTCATGCAAGTGTAGGGAGCCCTTCCAGAAGAGAGAGATTATTAAAAATATTTTGTATTTTTACCTCCTGGCAATATAGAAGGCAGTATCTAAGGACACTAAAGTTGGCATTTTCTTTCCAGTTCCAGAGGACTGCATTATGGGGATACCAACTTCTTCCTTTATCACTGATGGAAAACACAAAATAGCTCTTGCCATTTCTCCAGCACTATTATGCCTGCAGCTGTGGAACGCATTTAACACATCTCTTAATTGCTATGTGAGTAGAACCTTGCTGGAATCTTCATATAAGGGTGTCATAGAAGATAAATAAAGTAAGATATGATGTAATGCATTGTAGCTTACATGCTTCAGGAAATTCTAGGATTAATTGGGGAACGCATTTATTTTTCCTGGAATGCAAAACATGTAAGCAACCAATCCTTTCCTTCAAGACTTGGCTCCTCCTCCTCTTTCCCCTTCTGAGAGTATTACATCTGGTTTTGATGGTGCAAAGCTGTGCCTTACACTACAAGCCCAAGCTAAAGGCAAGTTGATATGAAAAACAGAGAGTATTTATGTTTCAATCTTCTCCAAATAAGGAGAATTCTTTTTAATATTCTTTAATGGGAGAAACCTGGCAAGAATTTTCTTAGCTAGAAATCTAATATGCTGAGATTTCAGATGCAACACTACAGTGCCCAATTCCCACTTGACAACACCCCTTCTATTCAAGTGAGAATGCTAAGTCTCTTTTCTATTGCCACACCACACAACCTTGTGCATCTTCCTGCAGGAGAACTGTGCATGTTCCTGCACACATAGGGTAATGTCCTGGGCAGACCACTTTATTTTCTTTGCATTTTGTCCTCTTTCATGGGATTTAAGAGGTGAAAAACAAGCAGCAAAATCTGTATCAATATTAGCAAAGCAGCACTTGAAAGAGTTGATGAAATTTGTGTTTCGCCTAATGCTCTGCAGTCAAAGAATAATCAAAGACTTGTGTTGCACTAGATAAACATCTTACAGTGGTATTGTTTGGCAATTGCATGTTATTCTATAAAGAGATAAACCTCTTTTCCTTTTAACAGTGATGAACTTTCATTGCCACTATGTACATAACTCCCTTTATTAAGAAGTAAATCTTCTTTGCCACCTCTACCTAATTTTTAAGAAAAAAAAAGAGGATAACTTTAAAAAATGTCCCATTCTCTGTCTTGACACCAGGTACTTTACTACATACATATGGTTCAGTTAGCTCTCCACAGTACTCTTAAGGGCACCTAGGAGACAAACATTTTCCCAAAACATGGAAATAACTTTTTTGTTTGTTTGTTTTTAAACTAGTCCCACCACATCAAACTTTGCAGTTTCCCTGCAAAGTTTCCCCACAAAGAAAAGCCATCCCTTGTGTGCTCATATGTAAAAGGAAGCAGCAAAGTCTCTGGTGGGAGTGAGGTAGGGCAAAGGCTTGCAAAGATCCTTGTACAGCCACAGCAAGTCTCCAGGGACTCACCGGCTGTTCCAGAGAACAGAAGAGGAAAAGGGAGGAAGGGCAGGGGAAGAGGTGGGAGGAAATCTCTTCTCTTAACAAGAAATTCCTTCTTGGGCTTGAGAAACCTTTGCCAGTGATGATTTAATAAAGTAGTATGAAAAGTTTAAGTTTCTTTAGAAAATCACCATCCTTTGTAGGAGATTTGATGACGCCCTTCTGTGCAATGCAAAATGAGGACTCCAGGGTTGAAATATTTCTGAACACTGACACCCAGAAACGTTGCATAGGAAATATTAGACTTTGAAATTATTTCAAAAGCATTACAATAGCTGTAAACAAGCTAACAAACAACCAAATACATCATCTACAGTAGCACTTTCAGAGTATGCTTGGATACAGGTACCTTATTTAAAGTAACGGCAGTGTTTGGTGCTGTGACTCTGCATGGAATGATCATTTCTCTTCCTACATCCATGTTTATTATTTTAGGTATATCACTGTGCATCTCTACAAATGGATTGCTTGTATCTGCAAAAGAAGAAAAAGAAAGGTTAATATGTGAAATATTCAGGCAGTGTATAGGAATTCTAATGCTGCATACAGACTTAAAAAACAGACTAGCCCAGTCCATAATGAAAGCTAAGCAATCAATCATCTTCATGATGAAATCAATGAAATCAATCTTCCATTTGCTTTTGTCTAAACATGTTCATCAAACTATTATTAAGTATTTGAAGATATATCTATCATTCAATATCAGTATCAGTATTTTGAAATCTTCTTCAAACGTCAGGACAGTAGAAGCTAATTTTTTCCATTACAGCAACACCTCCACTGCTGAGATATGTGCTTCTTATTTCATTTGTAACTTTTCATCACCAGGAAAAGTAAGTATATGGGAAGTGAGCTGAAATTCACTTATCAGGAACCCCCTACAAAGTACACCTTGCTGCTGTCTGAAAGGAAATTGATAGGAAAAAACCCACTTTGACAGCATCGGGAGAAAGAATCTGCCGTGATTATCCAGCCCTATTTTCATCTCCGAGAATATGGACTGGAGAGAGTTAATTCTTCTCCTCCTTCCCACTGCCACAATACCTATGTGTCTCTTTTTTTATGTGACAAGGTAAATGAAAATGCCAGGAAAACATTAATTCCTCTTGACTCAAAACTAAAGCTTGGCAGAGTAATTTACCGTCCCTTGAACAATCCCTTTAACAAAGGGCATTGTCATAAATAGCTTGCGCTGGGAACAGGGAACATTGCTGTTGCTATTGTTTGGGCCACTTAACAAAGAGGGGCTCAAGCCACAGGCTCTGGCTCTAAATCTTCTTTGCAGGTGCTCAGATCTGAAGGTTCAGTTTGACTCACATCGCAGATAGACTACCTCCAAATTCACATAAGGTTTGGTTTTTAACTCCTAAGAAAAGCGGAACATTAAGATCTTAATTCTGTGCTTATCTACACTTCTAATGTTTTTTCAGGCAAATCCCATTATTTTCACTCAGTCAAAAATCTTAGAAATAACAATGGAAATCTTTCTTGGATAAGAAATTAATAAAGACAGCAAGAACCAATCCCTTAAAAAACCTCAAACTGCAATGACAACTTGGTTCAAGTGTTCTGGCCCCAAACTTCTGCATGTTGGCCTATGTTCCCTGAAATAGTTCTTCAAGTAAGTTACTCTTGCTTGTCTTTCAAAAGTATGATATGCACTTCCCAGGGTCATCACACTGTTCTGCCCTTAGGATCCTCTTTTCTTACTATATGCAATAATATTTTTGTTTGAGAGATCAAACAGGAAGAAAAACAGATTCTGCTCTAATTTATACTGGTGAGAATCCTAAGGCAGAGGATCTCAAATGTACTCCAGGATACAGAATTTTTTTTTTTCCAAATGTGGTTTGATGAAACTGTTATACAAACTTTCTGAAATGAAACCCACAAAGTATTATTTAATAATAGGTATTAAATGTCCACTGAGATAGTGAAAGGAACTTATGAGTAATAGAGGATGCGTATGTAATAAAAAAATGCCCTGAGGATTTGTTAGGTCGACGTTTCCTCTGCAGTAAGATTCAAGTAAAGACCAAGAATGAACCTGTTTGTAGGACGAGGAAAAGAACCTTTTTTGTTTCAGGGACTGCAGCCACAGAAGAGGTCACCTGCCCCTTAACATCACCAGACAAACTGATTTACTACTCCCCAAAGACTCATTTGTCTTTGTCACAAAATTAAGAGCTCCTGCCCAAAACCAGCAAGCTTTGCAAAGTGGTTTCCTGTACCACAATCTCCAGATCATTGTAAGTGTGAGGAAGAGCTGTTCTGGGGACTGCCGGTGCTATCTGCAGACAGACTGATGCCAATATCAAGGCAGTGGGGGCTGTGCAGCTCAGACCTTGCAGGATTCCCGCCTGTACAAAGGCAGGGACAGGAAAACAGCATAAAACACCATGTTTAGCTTTTCTTTCTTCTTCTTCTTCAGTGGAAATACACATCTTTCTTCTTCTTCTTCAGTGGAAATACACATCCATGCCTGGAGAAATCAACAAAGTGCTGTATAAAAGTGGCCCAAGTGCTCTGTCTGCCCTTGGTGGGCTCCAAAGCTCGGTCACAGCCTCTCCTGGTACAGTCCCTGCCGTGTGCGCCAGGGCGTCGCCGTGCCCCCGCTATTCGCGTGCAGAACTCCCATTGACATCACTGGGGACTTCCGCCATGGGCCAGAGGGCAATCGATGGCCCCAAGTGCTCCAAATGTCTTCCTGCTTTTGATTAAAAGAAATACGCATCATGTTTCCTAGCACAGTTTTGTTTTCATAATGAGCATGGAGGCTTTTCCTGATTCCCTTTGATTTTATTCTCCTTCCATCTTAAAGGCCGTAACAGGATTCTCTCGGTGCCTCAAGATCAGAATCTGGTGCAGGCTTTACCAACCTGGATCAGGCAAATCTGAACACACAGCAGAGCCAGGGCAGGTCATGCCACCTTGGCAGGGTTTGCCAGCAACATGGAATTCTTCTGGACCCAAGCAATAGGTTTCCTTGCCTTTTATTTTCCTCTTTCCTTCCCATCACAACCCCAGCTACTGCCATTAGCTCCCACTACATTTCCTCTCAATTTCTTCCTGATGGGAGGTAAATGAACCTTCCCCTCATAGCTGGTTTGTCAGCACATCTGGCATGACTTGATTTCCCACTAGCAGTCTTTTGGGCCAGCTCCTCTCAATTCTATGTTCAGAAAGTCCTAGATGTAAAAGGAGCATCACAGACTGACCTATCTTGAAGATCACATCCAGGTAGCACATTCAGCTTCATTGGGATTTGGAATGGGGTTGACCTCGTTTTTATGAATTCTTGATTTTGGTTGTTGGTTTATTTTAGTTTTTCAGAGCTGCCTGTGAGATTAGCAAAATGAAAGCTGGACAGACAGAATATTTACCTACTTTAAAGGTTACTTTAAAAATCAGTTTATTGTATTTTTAAATTATGACCAGAATGAATGACTGTGTGCTGGGTTGACTGTATTCAATATCTCTCAGCTACAATCAACATGAAACCACAAAGAGCACTCATGAAATCACAAAATCCATGAAGGTCATTTGCTATATTGTTAAAGAGCATAAATAGCAGGTTTTTTGCTAAGCTGGTTGGCAGCCAGATAAAAACTTGATAAGAGACTTAGCACAAGCAATATTATGTCTGGTATCAGTAACCTGTCTAGGCTATTTATGGGGTTTGCACAAACAACTAAATTAGCCAACGCTGAAATGCCAAATTCAGAAAAGATTGAGAGGGTTTTTCTTTTCACAGGCTTCAGCTACTGTTCTTGGGTTTGTTTTGTTTTTAATAATCTGAGCTATGTAAGTCAGAGGACTTACACATACATTTGTAAGAAGAAAAGTCTCTGCAGGAAAATCTAAGCTCCCTGAAACCTCTAAAAGCTTATCCTCTGAAATTCTTCCAAAATACCTACTTATACTTGGCTCATCCTTAAGATTCTTTTCAGGCTAAAAGAGGTGAAACATTTTCATCACATTCACATAATACCCTTTTCCCTCATGCATGTGAAGAGTACCACAGTCTTTACTAAAGAGCTGACAGGCAGACTCCATTGAGGTTCCTGGGCCAATTGCAGCATTCCCTTTCCATTGAAGGGATTAAACCTCCTTAACTTTATTTATCCCAGATAAATTATTGGGGCTGTGCAGAAGTAATTCCAAAAGAATCCTGCACACCAAGAGTCATTCCAGCCTTACTTGCACATCTACAATAGAGACATTTCTCACTGAGCTGGAGCCAAACCTTTAGTGTTGTCCCTGGTGAGAAAAGGGGAATTTTGCAATGGGACTTATCTGACCAGCTTTAGACATCTGCTTTACCATGAGATGAATCATGCCCTAGGAAATGTGTCTGTTGAACCAGCTCATATGCCTAATTTTCTTAAAGAAAAACAATCCCATTTTGTATATCTTATTCTAAAAGAAAGGTAGTTCCACTCTTTCCTCTTCTTACCTGTAAAATAACACTCTTCAAATAAAAAGTATGTCTAAACTTTGCAAGAAAATCTAAGATTTATAATATTCCACTCCCTTTTTGTTTTTCTTTCTTTTACCTGGACTTATATGTTTATTAATTTATATCTTGAGCACATTTAGACACAAAAAAATTCTAATACATTTGTACAACAACTTTTAGTCAAGATTGGTTTGCTTTCCTTTGAGACTAGTTATACCACGCTATCCTCACCACAGGACCATGATGCAAACAAAACACAGTTAAAAATCTTCAGGAAAAATAGTCATATTAGCCAGGAAATCCACGATAGAGCTATTACTACCTTCAGCAAGCAATCCCTAGAAAGGCTAGCGGATGTTAGGAATGCTCCTTCAGATGTATCCCTGCATTGTGACGGCTCACCCTGGAAAGGTGTTTCAGCAGGAGCTACGAGCCTTGGTGAGGGACCAGGACCACGGAGGGGTGAGTGCAGAGCGTTGGACGCTGCCGGAGTGTTGGCACATTCTCCGCTCCACACGGAGTCCTGTGATACGGAGTCCACCAACACGCAATGACAAAAGCGCGGCAATTATAGGCCATTGACGTCAGCAAGTCCTAGAGGTCTCTGTTTTGTAACAGGAACCTCATTAGAAACTAAAAATGTGTCCGCATACTTGATACAGCTGCAACATAGTTTAATTCCAATGAGTTTCCTCTTCATAACAGAAGCGCTATCATAGTATTGACTCTGACAGTGTAAGCCAAAACCCTACTGCTCATATGTTAAAACTGTGCCAAAAGCAAAGACAAAAAAAAGCACGGGGAGGAAGAGTTTCCCAGGCCTTAGCAGGTTCTTTTATCAGTGCATTATTTGTAAATAAGAAAAAAAAGGAAGAAGATAAATCTCCCTTTCGGTTAGCTCTCAGGGTGTTTTGTCTTACTGATTTTTATACCTGTTGAATTATTTTGACTTTGATACTTCTGATCTAAAGAGAGCTTTTTGCAGAACTCTTTGGATACCCTCCATGTTCTGCAACAATAGTATCTTTAGGATTACAGGAGTCAATCCATTCAAGCTGGATATTAAATGCATGTCAGTTCTGGGTCTGGATCCAGCTATATGTCAGCAGGAAAACCTCCCAGGGAGATGCCCAGGAAGTTCTAAAACACTCAGAACCTGCAGTATACAACTTTAGTGTTTGAAAACGAACCCAGAATCCCAGATGTTTTGGGATTTCAAAAGCTTACATTTTGAACAATTCCCTAATGATAAAGCCCTTCATTTCAGACTGCTGAACCCAAGACATGTATCAAACCAAATACATACAATTAGTGGGCATGTTTGACCTTCTAGGCATTGGTGAGCACAAGCACTCTCAGGACCTGTACCTTTAAATACACAGCTCTGGTTTGCCTTACCCAGCTTAAACCATCTCAAAGCAAGAAATTTATCCTAAGCTTGTTCTCCAGATTTCTTGAAAAATCAGTGATGAAAGGTACCTACCAGAATCTCCTTTTGCTCTCTGCTAACTATAGAAAGAGAGCAGAAAATTCACCCAGCCCAGAGGTCTGATTTAAAAACATGTCTCATTTTGCAAGGAAAAGTAAGTGACCAGAAGACATACACTGCAGGATTATGAGAAAAGAAAAGGAGCGGGAGAACACTAGCTAAGAAACAGGCTACTGCCCTAGAGCCAAATATAGTTTTGCTTTGAGAAGTATTCTGTTCTCTGCTGCAGCAGAATTTAGATTTTACTCTTGTAAAATTGTATTACAAGCCAAAGGCAGTCTTCATCACAGAAAATAGCAACACTTCAACTCGAATCACAGTTTTTTTAAATTCATGCAAAAATCTAACTTTTGTATTGTAATGTAATTGAACTTACAAGCTTTTCCTCTGTCATACCATGGGAGCAATTGTTCAAAGGCAAGAAATGATGAGAGTAGAGAATTAAGAGTACTACACATTTTTGAAGAGAGTGAATGAGCTCCAGCAATTGAAAAGTGCCTTGAGACAAAGCAGACAGAAAGAAAAGCCCTTAGTACTGTCCCCAGGGAAATTTACATAGGATTCAGAACAGCCTGCTGGAAATTTGGTGTTTCTTAAATGTCTTTATTCCACCATTATCTCTTTTCAAGCAGAAAATTCCCTGCGCCTCACTGCAATGTATGCAGTGAGCGTTCATTGCAAATCTTTCCTTTTTTACTATTAGGCTGCAGTTCCCTTACAAAACAAAGCTGTGAGCAGTTTTGGGTCCAAGACAGTGGAGAAATTGGCAAGGAGGCTTTGCTTCATTTCAGCTTTTTCCCATGGCTCGTGGGGGAAGTCAGGCCGTCAGTTTTCTTGAGGCAAAGTTGAAGACTCTTAAGAGAATTAATTTCCCTCGCTTAATGTCTCAATTCCTGAGCTGTGTGGGGTCAAGAGTAGCCGAGACACTCTGTGCACTCACTCCCCTCTGCAACTCAGTAGTGACCTCTCCAGCTGAAAGAAGGGTGCTGTCAGGACTAGCTCCTCCAAGGCTAGTCACCAGCCTGCCTCTCCTCGACCCCCAAAAGCAAGACTTCAGAAATGCTTCAAGTCATCCTGGGGCCCGTGGGACTTGCAGTCTTCTCGTTGCCTTATGTCTTGTTTTTGTCTATACCATATTATTTTCTGCTGTAGCATACATTCATCACTGAACCAAAGGACTTAGAGGGTTTATTGTGGTCTGGGCTTTGGGCTTTCTTCTTTTTTTTTTTTTTTTTAAAATCCAGTTCATATTCAGTATCACTCCAATTACGGAAATGAAGAACATTTTTAAAACAATAAGTGATGACTTCCTGTACAAACAATATCAACTTTCCTGATTCGGATTCTGTGTTTGTAAATAGCAACTATTTGTTCTCATCTGCAGCATGCTAAGACATGGGAAACAGGCACCTTGGTGATCCACATGGAGCTAATATGGGAAATGGACTGACACAATGTCCTGTCACAGGAAACAATACAAAACTAGGAGGGACCCAAATTTCACAAATGTTTATTTCCTAAACACCCACAAATTAATGCAAAGTAAAACTAAACTCAGGAAAGAGAGGCTTTGTAGAGGATTTTGTTACCTTCGTCTCAACCCCGCTTGAGCTAGGTAATAGAATTTGATGCCTGTTCACAGAAACAGTGACTTATATTAAGAGACAGGTAGAAAAGAGATCGAGATAATGAGATAACACAGAGAAAGAAAATACTTTTTCTATCTCTACACTTATCAGAAAGGGTGAGTTTTGGTACTCAGCATCTTGTTTCCTTCGAACTTACTCCACAATTCTTTCTGAAACTGTAAAGTTTTGGAAGACTAATAAACCTTCCTCCAGCTTAGGGAAGAGACACAATTAACACTTTGGTGTTAAGAAACTTGTTTTCAATCAAAATGCTTGTCGAATTCAGAAAAATTAACATGCCAGAGAGGTCTAAGGTTGCTACAGGTTTCTTCCTTGAACATTTTACCACTTTTTTGGCAATTAACGTAGGAGGCGCTATAAAATCTAGCCATCTAGACCTAGCAATGGTGACATCAAGACTTATGACTGATTGTCCTTGAAAAGCCAACAAAATCAAGACACTTAGGCAGCCTTCTTTTAACAATTAGAGGAGACAGAAGGACAGGGATTGGTGTGGGACTGTCCTAAAACAATTTCTGCAATGATGCATTTCTTTCCCATCACCATGTGAATTCTGCAGATAACCTTGGTTTACAATCATCTGATTGAAGGTCCCTTTCAGCAAGCAAGCCACATACAAGTTGGGAAACCATGAAGAGTTAGAAAGACTGGTTGTGTCTCTCATTTGCAAAAATTTAGGATCCAGAAAAATTAACTCATCAGACAGGCAAGAGACCAAGAGAGTGCAAAGGCATCTCTTGTATCGTAAAGTCAGCTCAGCAGAGAGGTCCTTCTCGTGTGCTGAATGGAGAGGCCTCAGACAGGGATGGCATCCAAAGTGGGAGGTTCAAGAAGGTCCCATGATAGGAAACTTGCAAAAGGCATCCAAGGAAATCGTACATTTTCCTAGGCTCTGGCTGTTGGTCACTAAATGAATATCTTATTTTGACTATTCTTCCACAGATGGATCTGTTGTTGGATTTACAGAGAAATTATATGAAAAGAGCTGGGTGGTGAAAACACTCAGCTGCATGTTTCAGATGAAGGAAAGCATGAAATAGCCAAGAGTTCATAATAAAGCACAGTAATGGGGAGAGCTATCTTATTTTCTGTCAGTGTAGTGAGAGATCCACTTCATTCTGCATTTTCACAGTGCCAGTCTCACTCTTCATGTCACAAAATGAAAACAAAGGATAATCCACAGTGATGTGAACTCATTAGATGCAGTAGACCCAGAATTTGGAAAACTTCCAGTTGCACATTCTCTGTAATATGGGCTTTCAAAATCTGTGAGTCCTGAAATACTACAGTAATCTATTAATTTTGCTCTGTAAAGATAAGGAAAAGTTAAGTATTAATTCAGCTCTTCTCAGAAATGTTTGATTAATACCCTGGAAGGAAACAGGATCAGAAAAATTTTTTTTCTTTTATAGTCTTACTGACCTAATTCCAGCACTTCCCATACATTACACAATACTTGTTTGCTGAACACAACTCTGTGCTTAATTTGATTCAATTTATTCTAGATTTTTTCAATCTGTGTACATGGACTACAGAGGACATTTTTGAATTTGACTTCACATGCAAATAGTAATTTTCTGCAGCATGAGGCAAGTCAATGATCTGGATAGACATCCTTCTGTTCCCTAGAAATCACATCGCATTCAGTCATGTAGGATATGGTTTCTGATACCCATTTCACATATTCACTTGTAGTCTACTTCCATCTGGACTCCTGTTTACTCTAGGCAAGTGGTTGGACTGGGTCTTTTTCTTGCTTCATTTTTTTTCTGAGAGATAAAAGACTACCATTTGTATTTGCAAAAAAAAAAAAAAAATCTGACAAAGCAAATTTTATACATTAATGGGTAAACTAACATTTTGCAAGGCTGAAAATGTCATTCAAAACTCAGCCCAGCTAAACTACCTTACTTTTCCACTTTGCTGTATTGAAGCGCAAGTACCAAGAAGTGTTAAAAAAACTTAATCTTACCATTAATAAATACATAGACTGTAGATTCCTTCTTCTTTTTTGCTGGACTTGTTGGGTATTTGCAGCTATAATTTCCAGTGTCACTTGCTTGAGTTCTGCTCAAGGTCAGACTGCTGCAGGACTGCTTCCCATTCCTTCCACAGGCATATTTAATTACTTTCAGCCTTTCGCTATCCTTGCTAAGAGTTTCAGGCAAAGACCATGAATGAACCATTTCCCCCCTGCAAATACAGATAAGGAAGCAGAAACAATTATGTTGGGCTGCAATTATATAGCTCCAGTTCCCAAGCTTTCTTTTTTATTATATCAGGCTATTTATGGGGTTCTCTTTTATCTTGTTTTCCAAAAACAACAACAGAAACAACAAAGAACTATTAAAACAATTGCCATTGAAGTTCACTCCCCACCTTTCCCCACAACATAAGGTTTAATTTTTTTTTTCTAATTTCAGTTACAAAAAAAAGAAAGTGTCAGGTGTATGAAGTCCCTGCCAAATTATCATAATCCAATTCAGTTGGTTACCTGCAGGTGAGATTTAAAGTCTGGCCGGCTTGAACAACATGCTGTATGCCATTTATACTCAGCTCAGGAACTTTTAGTTTTGATCCTGAACAAGATCCTAGGAAAAAAAAAAAAGAAAAAAAACCCAAAACATTAGCAAAGATAAATAATTCTGCTTCCTGTACACTCACATTTATGCTGTTATACTGGAAAGGAAAAGAAAAGAAAACTGTGCCTCTCTCACCACACATACTCTCTTCCTTTAAGCAAAATCCTGTTGCCCTGACTCAGGACTGAAATAACCTTTCAGCAGCATTACTCAGGAAAGAAAATGGAATTGAAAGCTATCAGTCAATGACTTTGCTCTCAAATTTTTCACTGAACATACCATGAAGAAACTTTGAGGACCTCGTGGCTCCACATCTAACCAAGGAAGCGCGCCCCCAAGCACCATTGGCTGCATTTCCTCAGGAAACACGGACGTGGCAGCCCCTTCAATGGGAAGGGTAAAAGTCAGCCACTCCCATGGCAAGAGCCATGTACTGACTTCTAAGATACCGAAATCCCACTCAAATAACTTGCTGCAAAGCTGGAACTGATGTGGAAGGAGTGAAAGAGCATTAAGGATCTTCCCTTCCTGACTGAATGTCACAGCACTGTTACCTATGGTCCCTCGCCAGCTGCGAGCTTCCTGTCAATGAAGTAGTGTCAAAAGGTAGAGCTTCACAGTAAGTTTTGAGAACAAGATCAAGATACCTTCCAGACCAGGTTTGCTGCCTATTTAAAGAAGCAAGTATGCTATTGTGGCCAGACCATTCTGGCATGGGTGAAGCCCTCGGTGTCAGTATAGCACAAGGTGACTCAGGACACTTGAAAACATCCAGGTGGGCTTTGCAAAGGCCAAAATTATCTTTACCCTATAATAAGCTATGGCCACAAAAGCTTTCATGGCAAACGGACAGAAGAGCATGCCTTAGGGAAGAAGCAGTTCTTGATCCATCCCATTGCCTTTGCACTGACAGCAAAATGTTCCAAAAGCTGGGAACATAATGTAAAAATATTTTGAAACAGTTAAAAGTTGAAAACCAGTTGTAGTCTAATTGGGACACAAGTGTAATTTGTAAAGATTTCAGCGTTGAGAGAGCAACAGCAACTACCCCAAACCACTTTACTCCAAGAGAAAATATTACTTTGTCAACATATGTAAGAAGAATCTCACAGTCAAGGGTAATGCAGATTTTTCTTCTAGAACTCAGTCAAGTACAGTTTTAGCTTAGCTATTTTAAGTTCTTCCAAGAGGTCCCTGCCACAGCCAAGTAGGAACAGCTGTATGCACCAAACAGAGTAGAGATACATGAACCTTACTTGGGGCTACGTATCACCCATCAGAAACACCTCCCTCTTTTGTTGACTAGAGAAGGAACTTTTGGACACCAGTTCTTGCTGAGCTTGCTGACTAAAATTTGGGTGTGTAAACACATCCAAGTCAATGGCTGCTCCAAATTCAGGAGCTTTCTTTTCAGCCATGTATATCTTATTTAGATGAGGCTCCAGTAGTTTTCCAATATATTTTATCATCTGTGCCAATTCAAAACAAGATTTAAAGGCTGCACTTGAATATAGATGTAAACAAAATTGTAGCTCACTTGCACAAGCTGCCAGCAAGGGCATAATAACTTTTCAGAATAAAGAGGTCTTCTGGACTGCACCAGAAATAACACCATAGATTTGAATGGTGAGACTGTACATAAACACATAGACTTCCCCTGAGATTTGTCTAGGCAATCATATTTCTAACTACAAATTAATATATTCTGCCAGCTGGTAAGAGGGGAGGAAAATGGTGCAGCAAATCTTTGAAAAAGTAATTGTTATGTTCTATGCATTGCAAGCATGCATTTTTCACACCTGCTTTAGGGATCTCAGCTCTGAAGGGCTCGTTCCCCCAAAGCGCACTCTGTGCTTTTATGGGATAGTCTCCCATAGATGCTTACAGTCCATGAGTCTTCTCATTCACCATTCTGAAACAATGCCTCTGAGGCTAATCACTGAGAAATTGTGATAAGATGTTACAACAGCCTAGGCAGCTTCTTGGAGAGCAATCCAGGCACTCTTGTTGAGAGGGTTTGTCAACATCCTCCAGCTAAACAATCTGAGGCTCTGTGAAACTCCCACATTCCCTCATTTCATTTGCATTCCTCTTGTCATCCCGGAATTGAAGGGTCAGATGCTCTCCCAAGAAGGCAGAGTTTATATCCAGCTTTATGAATCTTGGTTTTCACTTTGGGGGAAACTTGACCTCAAGCTTCCCTGAACTGCTCCTTATTTGAGGCTATGGAAAAGCTGAAAATACACAATAGTGTTTACAAGCAGTTCAGTATGTACGAAAAAATCAGTGATGGTCTGCCAGAGGAAACCATCAGGATCAAAGCACAGCTGCTAGAGCTGCAACACTCAACCTAGTTGCTAGAGAGCAACATGTAGGTTGCTTCCTGTGTAAAACTGGTGGGAAAGTGGAAAAATCCATGTGAGTGTCAGGTGTTGACAACAAGACAGGAGAGCAAGTCTTCAGTGCCTGGTCATGCCTGCGGTGCTGAGCGCTTGGCTTTGCTCAGCACTGGCACTGCACCATGCCCAGGAGCAAAGCCAGTCCTGCAGCACCATGCCCACGTCTGACCCATGCTGAGACCAGGAGACCAGCCCTGGGAATGTGTGTGGGCTGCTGCTGTTTTCAAAGTCTGCCAAAGGTGACTAGCAAGAAACCATCATAAATGTTACAAGGTTTTTCTCTTCGTAACTTCACAGTGATATAAACAAAGATGCGAAAACCTTAATATCTATCTTAAATGAAGCACACAAAAGAAGGCAGTCTGGAAGCCTGTCAGGTCTGCTTCAGTTATTAAAATCAAAGAGAAAACGTAACAAAACCACCTACCTTTTCACCCCATCTTGTAGGCAAAAAAGAAACGCAAATGTACTGGACATATACTCAAGCTTTTGCCCTTTTACACATTTTACACATATCTAAAAGACAGCACAGTATTTATTAATACTGTGTGTGGGATATTAAGGAGTGCTTACTGTTTGTCTAACTCTGCTCCCATTGACAAAAGCCAGCATCTCATCATTGATTTTAACTACATTTTTGAAACTTAACTCCAGTAGTTAATCATATTAACATTCAAGACTTAATGTCAGTGTATTTGGGAAGAGATACAAGCCTGGTTATATATTCATTTATTTAGTTTTTCACTGGCAAAAAGCTGAGGTGTTACTTCAAGCCAATGTTGTTGTTTTTACAAGTATGGGAGACAATGCTTTTACCAGCAAGATGCTATGTCTTGAAGAAAAATAGCTTTATTTGACATCCTATCTATTCATGGGTCATTAGCTTCCTTACGTTTTTAAATGCTTCAAAACTGATGCAGAGTACAAATGCAATAGAGTTTGACGTGTTTACCAGGAAAGAAAAAGGAAGGAGAATAGCAGGGAAATTCCTAGTGTCAATATTTAGAAGCAGATTATGCCTTCTATGTACCTTCTGTGGGCATTTTACTTGACACTGTCTTTTCTGAAGGGTCATGGCTCAACAGGACACATTCACTTATCATTGTGCCTGTCACTAAGCGACCATCAGCAGCCTACCCTCACACTGACCTACATTGAGGGGTGCAACTTCTTTTCATGTGACAACAAGAGAACTAATTAATCCTGATAACTCAGGAATCTCCTCCCATGGGGAAAGGGGTGATTTTTTCGGACATGTTTTATTTGTTATGGAAGGCTTATTAGATACATGTGAAAGTCAGTCGATGGGGTTGCTTAATTAATGAGCAAACATTAATTTAGATTGAAAAAGCTAGCCATTCTTAGTAAAGTAAGGGAAGGATAAAGATTTTTTTTTTTTTAATGAAAGCAGAGAGAAATCTGTTATTTGCAAGGGGAAAAAAAGGAAGTTTTTTCAATTAACTTCTGCCCCTCAAAAAAATCTGATCCTCTTCCCAATTAACTAAATAAAAATTTGAACTGTCTGATAACCAAAAAACTCTCTGACCACAAGTTGTGAAAAAAGATAAAATAAATGAACATACATATATTTTTTCAATATGATATGTGTCCAGTCCTACAGACAAATGAGTAACCATATACACATGATGAACCTTCCACTGATTTCTGCTAAATCTTGGTTGCTCTTAAAAATTATAGATTTTCTGAACTCAAAAATGGGAGCATGGCCTGGGTTATTATTCCCATTCCAATTTTCCTAGTTTTCACCTTTAGATTTCTTTTCATACAGAGAGAATTTCTGCTACCTTTGACTAAAGAAAGGAAATCAAAAAGCTAGCTTTAAGACTTAGTTAAAAAAAATTACAATATTAGAAGTTATTATAAATTTCCTTGAAGTTAACGGGTTTGATGACTTTCTAACATATTTCCCATATTTTGGGGCTGTGACTGTCTTCCAGACACTCCTGTCATCCTCAACATGTTGACTAATCTTTTTTTCACCTGCACAATGAGAGGTTAAGGAGAATGATCAGTTTATCTTTGCAACTTCAGTGTGTACAAAGAATCTGACCTTCTGGGTTTAAAGTGCCATCTGTGGGCAATAAAGTTATCAATCAGGAAGTAATTGTTTCAATTACTGTTGGAGTTTCACGTGTTTTACCCCTCGTGAAACATAACTGAGCCTTTGAGGGTTTTACCGTCAAACAGTTTCCTCCCCATCCGAACGTTCAGCAAAAATGTACTTTGTAGAGGACACTCCTGGACTGGAAGGAGAGGGCAGGTTATTTCATAGCAGGGTCTCCACCTCTCTGTGCTGCTTAGAACATTGGTCATTCAGTTCAGATGCAGCCCAGGAATTTAGTCTTGCGTATGAGCACTTCCCTATGAGTCATTCCACTGAAGGGAACGGGAATACCCACATGCGTACAACTAATAAGCAACTGCAGAATCCAGACAAAGCGTAAAGGAACACGGTAGTACCCAGAGGGTCAAACTTCAATGCATTTCCAGTGAAAATGAGCTGACTCTGACCTGCAGCAGCACCTTAACCAGAACACGGCCACTAGGTAACTTCAAATGGAGTATATGGCTTTATTCCA